GCCGAGTCTGCCGACCGCGTCGACGGGGCCCTCGAGGAGCTCGACGCGCTCGCCGTGGAGCTCCGGGAAACCCGCGGCCGGCTCGAGGCTGCCGCCGGCGTCGCCGCGAAGGCGAGCGCGGCGAGCGCGGCGATTGCGGAGGCCGAGGGCCGCGCCCAGGCCCGCGCCGAGGCCGAAGAGCGTGACGGGCTCGCCCTGGCGCTCGCGGAGGCGGAGGGCCGCTTCCAGGACCGCGCGGAGGAGCGCGACAGGCTCGCCCTGGCGCCCGAGGACGCGAGGGGACGCGTCCAGGCCCGCACGGAGGAGCGCGGCGCGCTGGCCGCGGAGCCCTTCAAGACCCACACCCAGCTCGAAGCCATGACAGCCCTGCCGATGGAGTTGCAGGGGGGGGGGCCGCGGAGGTGGTCCAGACGTTGGCGGTCGACGGCGGCACGGACATCGACGACGTCGTAGGCTGGACAGCCTCCGCCGAGGTCGATGCGCAGGGCGTGCTGGACTCCCGCATGGCCGACGTGGCAGAGCACTTGGGAGACTCGGTGGACCCCGTCTTCCACTGCGCGGAGGCGCAGGAGCAGGCGGAGGAGATGGACGACCATGACGGCGTCTTCTGCGCTCCGCCCGCGGCGCGGAGTAAGTCCAAGCAGCAGGCGCGCCTGGCGCGCCGTGCTGCGGCGGCCCCGTCGGCTGGGGATCGCGTGGAGGTCATCATGCCGTTCGCCCCAATCCGCCAGGCCCACCGGGTGCCCATTGGGGTCCGAGGCGTCGTGGATTACGTGGAAGACGAGGGCGGCCCCCAGGACGCAGTGGCGGCAGTCATTTGGGACAAGCCTGGGCTGGCCCGAATCAGCGGCCACGGCGTCGGAGGACCAGCGGTGTCGAAACAGGACTGGCGCTGTTTCCGTAAGCTGGCCGACGGCGACACCTGATGCTGCGGCGTCAGGCGGTCCGTGGTGGCCTGTGGCATTGCGAGCAGGCGGGAACCATTCGGGTGGGGAGCGGCCGTCCTGCTCTTCTGATTGAGGCTTGGCTTGGGCGAGCTTGATCGCACGCTTCAGGTTGTGAGCTGTTGTTTCACTTGCGCAGGGTTTGGGCCGAAGTGCCTAGCCCTTCTCGCTGGCCTTTGGGCTGGTGCCGTGATGCCTCGGGGTTTCCCGGGGTCCCGCTCTGAAGCCTGTGGAGGGCAGGGGCCGATGTGCCTTTGCCTATGGGGCTTTCGCTTTCGGTGATATGTTGGGGATTGCCTGCTCTGGTGCGTTCAGGCTTTGCCCTGGAGGCGCAGGCCGCGGTCAGTTGTTCCCACGCGGTTGGGCGCGCGCCCTCGACGGCCCGACGCGCGGGCACGCGCGCGCACATGCACACGCACACGCACACGCACACGCACACACACACACACACACACACACACACACACACACACACACACACACACACACACACACACACACACACACACACACACACACACACACACACACACACACACACACACACACACACACACACACACACACACACACACACGCACACGCACACGCACACGCACACGCACACGCACACGCACACGCACACGCACACGCACACGCACACACACATGCACACCTGTTGCGTCGGCAGCTAGGCAGAGTACCTGCGCTGGCGGAAGAGTTGCTGAAACGGTGGCACCGCTTAGCGAATTGTGCCACAATGCAGGAACAGGGGATAAGACAGGGCACACACACACACACACTGGCACCCGTATGCTCCCCTCCCGGTTTGGCCTCTTTGGGGCCGTCGTCGCCGCGGCCAGGCCCGCCCCAGACGAGCCCCGTCCAGAGCGCGCGGCCGGGTGAGCGGCGGCGTCGGCATCTCCAGGGCCCCCCCGGACGGGGAGCTCGTGGTGGACCCGCCCCGTGGCGCGCCCCCGAGAGGAGCTGCAGCCGTGGGGGCCGACGAGGCATCCCCCACGGGTCGTTCCTCCCAGGCGGAGTCCTCAGAATCCAGGTCAGCGACGTCCTGGCTTGGGGAGGGGGGGGGGGCCTGACTGCCTGTGCCGCCTGCCGCCGAGGTCGACGGGGACGCCGCCGCCGAGATCAGGCGCGTGTACCAGCTGGTGGACCTCTACGGCGACAACGACCGGGCCGAGCTGCCGCCACAGGAGGAGTTGCTCAGCGACTGGCACCAGCCGCCGGGCTTCGACCGCCTGGACCCGGACCCGCGGCTCCCGGCGCCCGGGGAAGCTCGCAGAGGGGAGGTGTCCCAAGTTCCTTCTCCTCCTCCTCCTCCTCCCATTCCTCCTCCTCCTCCTCCTCCTCCTCCTCCTCCTCCTCCTCCTCCTCCTCCTCCTCCTCCTCCTCCTCGGGCTGTAGGGAGCGAGCCCAGCTGCATGCTCACGCGTTTCTCTTGCTGTTTACGGAGCGACTCCCCTCCGACCGCTGCCCCAATCCCCACCTCTTTCGGGTGTTGCCAGGGGCGGCCCTGGCCCCCGGTGCCCCCCAGCTCTTGAATCCACGTTGGAGCCCCTGAGGCCCTCTGGGTCTCGTGGTGGGGTGCTCCTCCTCCTCCTCCTCCGGAGATCCAGGGGACTCCTTGGGCCAGGGACGGTCCTGGCAGCATTCGCGAACCTCCGCGCCCCCCCCGGAGGTGCCGCTGGCCGCCGGGGCCGCCTCCGGCGAGGAGGAGGAGCTCTTCCTGGACTACAGCATGCCCCCTGCCCTGCCGGAGCCGCCGCCGGCGGTCCCAGGTTCGCTCGGGCTCGGCATCGCTCGAGCGCGTGCGCGTGTTCTCGGCGAGGGCCCTCGAGGAGCATCTCGGGTCGTCGTGCGAAGAGAAGGAGCGCACGGGCGCGGGGCCGCAGCACGCACGGGGGAGGGACGTCCGAGCGATGGCGAGTGGGGTGGGGGTGGGGGGGCAGCGCCAGCCAGCTGCGTGTGTGTGTGTGTGTGTGTGTGTGTGTGTGTGTGTGTGTGTGCGTGCGTGTGTGTGTGTGTGTGTGTGTGTGTGTGTGTGTGTGTGTGTGTGTGTGTGTGTGTGCGTGCGTGTGCGTGTGTGTGCCTGCGGCGGCGCTCGGCCTGTCCCCAGGCCCCTCTGGGCCCGGGGTTGGTGTCCAGTCAGCCCGCATACACAGCCGCGACAAAGTTTCTTCAATTCGCTATGATGAAAATCTCTCCCATCCCTCTCAAGATTCCTAACGTGACATGATGCTGGGGTCATTCGGCGGAGTAGTTTCCGATCCCGGAGACGTCAATAACTCTGTTACCCCAAAACGGGATCGGAAACTACTCCGCGCCAAACCATACAAGTTATCGAGCGGGATGCGATTGCGCGAGGAGTAGTTTTAGTAAAATTACTCCGAACTACTCCGCACGATCGCGTCATTCCAAAAGGCAAATTGAAAGAAACTTTCGTCACGGCGATGTAGTCAGGATGGGCGACCTTCCCAAGGGTACCCTTGCATCCTGGCCCCCTCGGCCCCTCCTCAGCGACTCTCGCTGGCCAGCCTCGTTCGCAAGAAAACGCTAACGTGGCCCTCCAAGGCCCTTGCATCCTTACCGCGCATCCTTCTGATACGGGTTGGCTGTACCCAGACCCCCCCCCTCGGTTGCGAGGCGATCGCGGGGGGCCTGGCGTCGCTCGGGCGCGTGCACTTTCTCTCGGCGAGGGCCATCGAGGAGCATCCTGGGGCATCGCGGCAAACCCAAACAACAGCACTCACGAAGCCGACAAATGCACGGGGAATGGACGTCCGAGCGATGGCGAGGGGAGGTCTGGACAACTCCTGGCCCACGGGGGCCCTCGCCGGGCCCCGGGAACGTCGAGGAACGGCTCGGAATGAGCGAGCCCGGCCCCGAGGAGAGGAAGGGCCCAGACCTCTGGAGGTCCACGTCTTGAAGTCGAAGAACAAAAAACGCTATAAGCAGAAACTTTTAGCGCTCCGCTCGGATGTCTTGGATCCGCGCCGATCCGAGAAATCCGCGCGGACCTCCGAGTTTTTATGTTTATGTCATTCTTCGTTCCTCTATCCACGTCTCGAAAAGAAGGGCTCCCACGAGGGCGCGAAGTTATTCGCGCTTCGCGGTCCTCGTTCCTTCTCCCCCTCCTCCTCGTCTTCCTCTTCTCCCTTTGGGGGGGCGGCGCGAGAGCGCGAAGTTGGGAGCCCTAGCGAAAGCAACAGATGACACGACGTCGGCGGTCTGTGTATAGTCCTTGCAGGCCGGCCGCGTGTGTGCCAGGGCCAGAGGTGGCCGCGCACGCGCGCGCGCCGATCGTGGGCCCGGGAAGGGTCCAGCCAGCCCTGGGGTTAAGTCGAGCACGTCCCTCTACAGGAGGAAGATTCAAAAAATAGGCCAAACATAGCCTGGGGACGAATTTGTTTCAATATATTGTTGAATATTGACTGAATATCTTTAGATTACTTTTTATTCTTCGTCCAAAATCCGACTGTATGGGGACACACCCGACCTAACCCTGGTGTTACAGTGGGGACCCATGCCAAGAAACACCCTGCTTGCCTCCAGGGTGCCCTGGGTTTCTTGGCTTTCGGTGGTTCTGCTGTGGACAGCGTGGCGTTCCCACACCAAAAATCAATGGACCTCCTGGGGTCTCAGGGTTGGGTTTCTTGTGGAGGGTTTCTTGTGGACTGGCCTCCACTGTACTGTATGGTCGTCCTCCTAGGCTTGGAGCCCATCAGCGTCAAGATGAGGCTCCACGGCGTATCCATCGATGACGCGAACAGCAGATCCCAGATCCTCTTCTTGGAGAAGTGTGCCCAGATTATCGCCAAGGAGTGCAGGATCCCCGTGGAGTGGGTGACCGACGTCTCGCTGAACGCAGGCCTGATCTAGATCCTCGTCGGAAGTTGCACATGACGAAGGGGGGATGCGACCGCATGGGCCGCGAGTTTGGACACGTGTGGATGCTGTCACGCTCGACGCGTTGTCAGCTCGACAGGCGAAGAATTTAGGACGCAGACTTGGTGCCAGCGGCGTGTTTGCGCTGGTGCCACGGCAGCGGCAACATGAAAACGGTGGTTCTGCTCCTCCCCCTACGATCGCGCGTCCTCCTCCGCTGCCGTCGCCTCGCCCCCTCCTTCTATCCCACCCCTCGCATCCTCTCGTTCTCTGTTCCTCCCTTGTCTTGTCCTCCTTCTCCTCCTCCTCCTCCTCCTCCTCCTCCTCCTCCTCCTCCTCCTCCTCCTTTTCTTCCGTAGCCATTCTGGCTCAAGGTGTCTTTGTCCCCGGGGCAGAAAACGGATACCTCTAGTCCGAGGCTAGCCCCCGTTTCAGGCAACCCCAGTCGAGCTGCGCGCTGCTGGGGCCAAGAGTTCTCCTGCTCGCTACCTTCTCTTGACGTGTTCACGGGAGTATCACACCCAAGAGGCCATGGCATCAGCAGCGGAGATTGCCGTGTTATTAGAACAGATGCAACGCAACCTCGAGGCTTCCCTGACCAGTCAGATCAACACGAGTGTAGGAACTGCAGTTGGGGCAGCGCTACTACCTATCAATCAACGCCTCGACCAGCAAGACGACGCCATCAAGAGCCTGCAGAGGCAGATGGCCAACCAGTCGATTGCTCCGTCTGCTGCAAGCTCGGCGTCAACCACAGCCTCCTCGGGGAGCAAGCGGCGAATGCTCGATGTCGCAGGCACCGTGGGCAGTGACGCCACCAAAGTTTTCATGGGCACCTGGCCGAGACCCGTTCTTGGTAGAGTTATGCAGGACCACTACGACCAGCTCAAAGCCATCTACGCAGAGACCTTGGCGGATGTGACGACGCAGATTCACGAGACAGGGCAGACCTACCTCATCCAGTTCAAGAGTGCTGACTAAGCGAGGCGCTTCCGCTTGCAATGCGCGCAGAACGGCTCCAAGTGGCTCAACAACCGCGACGGCAAGCACACGGAGATTCGAGCACGTGGCGACTTCCCACCTGATGTTCGGGCACGCAAGAGGATCGTTGCCTCTATCTACCCGCAGATCGAAGCGATGTGCAAGAGCTTGGCCAACTGGAACGCGAATTGCTACATCCGAGTGAACGGCTTCAAGGGCGTTCTCTCCTTGACCGACCAGCAGGACATCTGGCCGATCATCCAATTGATCTACAATAACGACGACGACTACCATTTCGAGGCCAACGGGAACGAGGTGCGCCAGTGGGGCCTGGACATCACCGCGATCAGCGCCATCATCTTCGAAGCGAACAAAATCAGCAAGTCACTTTGACATGTACTACCACGGGACGAGCGCCAGGTACAGCACGATCTTGTGCACGAAGACCTGGCCGCTGACGTGGACATTCCAGAAGTTTCAGTTCCCTTGTCTGCTGCTGGGGAGGGGCCCCATCATGAGCCTTTTTCCGTCTGCCTCTCCCCTGTCCGTCTGCTCGTGGAACGCGCAGACCCTTCTCTGTTCGCTTGCCACCTCTCGCGAGCGCAGCCGTAGCAAGTATAGCTGTCTCTCCTCCCTCCTCCGTTCACATGGTGTTCTATGTATCCAGGAAAGTCACGGTCACCAGGGCGACCTCATTACTTTGGAAAAAGGTTTTCAAGGATATGCAAGTGTTCGGCTCCTTATGCCCTTCTGCCAGCGCTGGCGACATCCTCATTTTTGTCCGCAAAGCTCTCTTCCGCAAAGCTCTCTTCCAGTGCTTCACCGCTCACACATTCGAGATTCTTCACGAAGGCAGAGTCGCTATCCTCACGTTGCAAGGCCCAAAGGGCAACCTCCAGCTAGTCAGCCTCCATTTCGACCCCGATTGGACAGAAGGTTACACACGGCAGATGATGCACCGCACCAGGTCCCACCTCTCCTCCCTCAACTCCTGTGTCATTGCGGGTGATTTCAATTTCTTAGTATCTGGTGAAGGTCGGTTTTCGGTTCGCAACGGTGCTGATCGAGTTGGCCAGGTCCGACTTTCTAACCTGTTTGATTAGATTTGCCCGCGGTTTTGTGAAGTTGAGCAGCAGTCATACACTCACCGTCGCGCCACCCGTGACGACGCTTCCTACGCTAGGTTGGATAGAATATACACTAACATCCCCGCTGTTGTTCTGATGGAGCACTGCGTTTCCTCGGGCACCTCCTGGAACATCACGGTCTTCAGCAGGCCCTCCGATCACTCCCCCGTGTTCCTCAGTATGAAGCCGTTCAAGCCTTCAGGGAAACCCCCGTCGGTGCCTGTTTGGGTAGCCAAGCATCCGAAGTTCCCTGTTTCCCTGGACATGAGCATCGAGGACAATCCCCTGGACCCCAACCCCTGCGTGCGGGTAAAAGAAATCAAGGCGCTGATGAGGAGCGCCAGTCACCAAGCTCTTCAGTACATTGAGGCCGAGGGTGCCTCCTGTCTTGCATCTAAGGCACACGCCTGTCTGCAGCTGCTGCGTTCGCACCGTCGGCAAGATGAGCGTAGACTTCGATAGCGACATGATGTTATGGGCGCAATGGTTATAATTTCACGCTATGCTCTCTCAGCTGCATCGTGAGATGTACGAGCAGGAGGAGCAGAGGATCCTTGAGGCGCCTGACGTGAATGGCGACGCTCAAGCGACGGCTCTTGCTCGAATTCGTCGCCCTTCTTCTGCCTGGGCTGCCTCGCGGCCGACCCCCAAATTAGCTGGAGTGAAGGGCCCAGAAGGCAAAGTCCACGCCGACGCCGAGGTCTCGCAGAAGCTTTAATGTGATTGCTGGAGTAATGTTTTCCTGGGCGAACCTGGCGATGAGATTTCCGATGATAACACATTTATCCAGAATGCACAAATCATGAACGGTACACAAGGGCACTATGTGACACAATCACTTCAACGCCACGACTGGGTCTTGTCCGGTGATCACTTCGCCCAAGGTCTGATGCGCAAAAAAGATACCGCAGCTGGCCCAGATGGTATTCCGCGCGCGGCCTGGAGGGCTGCCAGTCTTCATAAACTTTCAACACGCCCCCGTCACCGATCCCCCATGGGGGTGGGTGCCTGGGGCTCTGGGGTGGGGCTCGGGGTTTGGGGGGTTCCGCGGGGTTGGCGCGAGCGACGCGCCCCCCCCCCCTGAGACGGCCAGCGCTTTCCCATTCGGACTCAGCGAGAAAATGAGGATGGAGGACTGAGGAGGCACAGGAGGGGGGCAGGTAGAGGAGGGCGCCCCCCAACGGCGCGCCCCCAAACAGTGCGCCCCCAAACAGTCCCCAAACAGTGCGTTCCCAAACAATCCCCCAAACAGTGCGCCCCCAACCAATCTCCAAACAGTGCTTGCAGTAGGTGGTCCTATGTTGTTTATCCTCCTGGATCTGCTGTCGTATTCGAGTTTGCGTTGGTTTCGCGCGGATGGTGGCCCCGCGTCTCGCGTGCGTCCCCTGCGTCGGGTGGGTTCGAGGTCCCGCTCGGCGGAGGGCCGCGGATGTCTCGGCGTTGCGCGGGTCACCCCGCGCGCGTAGCGCGCCAGCGCTGACGTCCGAGCTCTTGCTCTGCGTAGCCCCCACCGCGCGCGCTGCGCCATGTTGAGGAATCCGTTTCGTTGCGCCTCTTAGCCCACGTTGCTTTACTAAATCGCCTAGCGCGCGGCTTGTCGTTCGTGACGCGCCGACGTTTCTGCACATATAGGTTTGCGCCACATAATGCAATACCGCCTTTAAGCTCACATCGCACAGCTTGCGCCGCGCGTACCTGGCGCCGTTTCGGTTTGCCCGCGCCTGCGCCGCATCGGTTTTTGCGCGAAGCGCGCGCGACGTTGCTCGGTATTGCTTGCGCCTCGCAGGTCGCGCAATTTTTGTTTGCACCGCGTGGCTTGCGCCGCGGGCGTCGCGCGCACTCCCGTCACTCACCGCGCACATCGCGCATCGCGGTTCGTGCGTTTTACCACTTGCGCACGCCAGGTGCAGTTGGCCAGGCGTTTCGCGTCTCCCAGCTCCCGTCGCCATGGCACGCCGCGCGCCTCTCACCACGTCGCGCGACGCAGAGGCCGCGCCACATATTTCATCCATATAGGAGTGCGAGGTTCCGCTGTTTGGGGTCCACGTCGCACGCGGTGCGCGTTCGGTAGCGCCGCTCGCGCTGGCGCCGCGGCTGCCGCAGCTCTCGGGCCCAGAGCTTCGCTGCAGCAGGGCCCGACCCCCGTCGAGCTGCAGCGCAGCGCAGCGCAGCGCTGCGATGGGCGGAGACGCGACGCCGCACGCGGCGCAGAAGATCCCCTCGGACATCCGCTTGCTCTGCAGCATATTGATGGGCAAGGGTTCGCGGGCGAGTTTTTTTTTTTCCGACCCCCGATTGGTGTCATTCCCCCTATCTGCGTTGTCGCACGTCGCCCCCCGTTCGCCCCCCTCGCCCGCCCGCCCCGCGTCGCCCCGCCCGCGGGCCCGATCCGCGGCCAGGAGACTCCAGCCAAGGACGTCTCCGAGCAGGTGAAGCGGAATGTCCTCGTCAAAGTCGCGGGCATTGTCCGTGAGCTGGTCGAGGACGCCCGATGGGGGGCTGGCGGTTCGGCGATGCCAGGGGCAGCAGGGCCAGGCAGTCGCATCGGGAAGGAGGCGGGGGAGGATGCGGGGAGGAGGTGGACGAGGGGGGCGGCGCAAGGTGGTGGAAGTGGCTATGTGCTGGCGCCTGCCCGCCAGGGCATTGGCATCGCAGTGGCATGGGGGGGGGTGGGGGGGGGGGGGGGGGTCTGCCACCCCGCCCACCCCTCATTCGCCTCCATCTCCTTCTCCTACGTCGCATCCTCCCCCCGTTCGGACCCCCGCCAACCCCCGCATAATTATTGCCCCCATTGCTTCGTAGCCTGTCCTCCCTCAGTCGTTTCGCGTCGCCCTCCATTTTGCTTGCGCCGCCATCCCCCCTCCCCAACTCCCAGATCAGCTTCCGCTCCCCTTTCGGGCCTGCGACCCCACTGGCTCTGGACATCCACCGTGTTTTTATCCATTCGATTCGGTTCTCTCGGTTCGGCTCGACTCGGCCCGAGTCGACTCGACTCGGTTCGGCTCTCCGCCGCCTCTCTCGCTTCGGCCCCTTCTGTTCGGGGCAGTTTCGTTCTTGGCTGCCCCC